TTGCATATTTTAAATAAATTTTATTTTTTATTTTATTTATTTATTTATTTTATGTGTATGTGTGTATGTGGAGGTATCCATGTCATGATTCCTTGTGGAGGTCAGAGAACAACTCGAGGAAGACTATTCTCACCTTCCACAACATGGGTCTTGGGGATGGAAATGGAAGTCAGGTAATTCTTGTCTTTATTTGAGGATCCATTCCCTGTCCACAATAAGTGTTTTTGAAATAGAAACACTACATCTGTTTACATGTAAATGAGAACTGACACATATGGCCTCTGAATGGCATTTTTACATAAATGTATTATTTTAATATCTTACAAATTTTTGTCTCATTTATATTTGCTTATATTACATTTGTATGATGTCTAAAAAGTATATATTGTCAAACAATTTCTTCCCTAGCATTCAAATTTCATTAATCTACATGTATCTCCAGTTTTCAGGGAATTAAAAATCTGCAGGATCCATAGCCCACTAGCAATAAAAAACAGTCCATTTACCTATCAATTTTCTATTCTGCTGCTACTTCTCCTAGATTCCTTATCTTACTGAATGACATGTAATCCCTAAGTACCTTGTCTGTTACCCCTTGCCATGGGACAATGAGCTCACCCTTCTCTGAAACAGTAACTTAAGCCAAAAATAACAATATTTGTTACTGGGAAAAGTGGACAGCGGTCACTGTTCAAAGACAGGCAATACTGGGGCAGACACAAAATAAATGTGGGTGGTCAAATACTCTACCCCTCAAGGAAACACTAAAGGAAAGAGAGAAGACTGAGTCTTGAGAAGGTCTTGATTCTTCAACTTGTTTACAAACAAATAAGAGATGAGTGCTCACTCTAATAAAAACAGGAAACTTGCCAGAGCAGAAATGTGGCTCACAGGTCAAATTTATTTTTATTGACAAGTTAATTTGATTTCTTAGTAATGGTTAAAATTTGAAAATTTTAAAATACACAACAATTCAATAGAAACAAATTTTAAAAAATCACGATGAAAGTATGCCCTGTTCATTTCTTATTCGTTTTGTCCCAAAGTAAAGTTTTTCTTTCTATTAAAGATTTTAATTGCTATTATAATTTCAAATATCATAACAATGAGTTATGATTATTTGGAGGTTTAAGAATTCTACTGTCCTAACGTGCATTATATGCAGAGTTCTTGCCACAGTTGTAACTCATGGGTCAGAATCAGTTCCCTTGCTTTGAAAGTGCTGCTTATTCTTGTCTTTTATCTATTTCTAAAGCAAAATGGAACATAAGTTAGTTTCAAGACTTAAACAATAATCATGCTGATTTGAAAGTCTAAAGAACGTTATTTCTAAATGAGAAAGGTGAATGGTAACATCATAATAAAATGCACCTTTAAAAAGTGTAAGCATTATTTATTTCAACTCATAGATTATGATGAAGAAAATTAAAATGTAAAATACAATTTAAAGGAAATTTTATTAAGAAGCAACATTATGTATCTGTTCCACAAATTTTACAGTATCTTTGGTATATAGTGCCTAAACTCAAAATGATGGTTTTAAGTGCCTTATACCATTTAACCGTGTTCACATACAGCTGTTGATGCTGTTAATGTGTATTTATTTGCTCAGCCAGTTCATCCTGATGCCGCTGTGCCAACATTAGACCAATATCTAGACTTTGTAGCTAGTGAAGAAAATGCATTCTGTGTCTGACTTAATGATACTTTTGTATTTGGCTTTCTGTCATTAAAACAAATGTTTCCTCTCAACCAGCATACAAAGCAATGAGTTTCATTATGACATTTTGTACTTTGGGAGCATTTGATCCTCTTCTTCACTCCTCTCCCTCATACCCCTTACCCCAGCTTGTACCCTTCATCCCCCATTTCCACTTTCATATCACCTGTATTCTATTAACCCTTTCTCTATTCCCTCATCCCTTCCTTAAGACCTAATTTTCCTCTCAAGTTCCCCTTTCTAGTCTCATGTAAATGATGCCTATACTCACAAACACATATATACACATACACAAAAATTAAAATCTAAGGTCTACATGAGAGAGAATATGTAGTATTTTGTCTGAGTCTGAGTTAACTTGTTTCATAGAATGATATCCTGATTTAACCATTTTCTTTTAAATCTTATTTTTGGTTTACGGATTAATAAAACTCATGTATATGTACCACATTTTCTTTGTCCATTCATCTGTCACTGGGTATTAACACTGGTTCCTTTTGTTTCCTACTGTGAGTAGGAAATATTAAATATTAATTATATTTAACATGATTTAACAATATTAAACATGAATGTGTCTGTATGGTAAAGCTTTGGGTCCTTTGGGTATATGCCCAGAGGTAGTAGAGGTGATATTTGGTACTTTTGTTTTTAGCTTCTTAATGAATCTCCACACTGATTTCCATATTGGCTGTATCTCTTTACACTCCTACCAACAGTGATAAGTTTTCTTTATCCCCACCTCAATGCCAGGATTTGTTGTTCTTTGTTTTTTTGATGATAGCAATTCTGACTACAGTCAGAATCACAAAGTAGTTTTAATTTGCATCTTTCTACTGTCTAAGGATTTTGAGCACATTTTAAAATCTTTGTTGTGGGGCTGGAGAGATGGCCCAGGAGTTAAGAGGACTGGCTGCCCTTGCAGGGGACCTGAATTTGAATCCTAGCACCTACATAGTAGCTAACCAATGTCCGATCCATAACTCCAGTTCTGGGGGATTTGATCCCTCTTCTGACCTCTGTAAGCATTGCACCACAAGAGTACACTTATATACAAGATGGCAATACACACATACATGTAAAATAAAAATAATACATAAAATATTTTAAAAATCATGTTGATTGACAATTTTGTGTTTGTGAGAAAATGTTTAATTTTTGCAGTTCTTTATATGTTCTAGCGGTCAAACCTACTTTTCTGGCACTTTAAATAGCATGAGACTTAGTTCATTAAAGATGTTAAAACTGACAAATCTCAAGCTCAAAGGGGAATCAGGCACCCTGTTCTGACCTCTGCGGCATTGCACGGCATGGGTGCACTCACATACATGCAAGCAATACACTCATACACATAATTTAAAACAAAAATAAAATGTATTTTTCAAATGTCCACAATTTAATCATATGTTGAGAATCTAAGTAACAACCGGATTTATCCTCTGGCTTTTAGTTTACTGGTTTTGCCTCCATAAAATGTATGACTTAGTTATCTGAGAGTCTGCTGCAAAGTGGAATGTTGGTAGCTTAGGGAGTTTTTTCCAAGACATCTGGGTATCAGAATTTAAGTTTAGACACACATGTGATTCCAAAGAGATATATATTTTGGGTGAATCTTCTGGCATAGTTCTGAATATAACAAACACCAAATAGTAAATTCAGAAAGGATATGGATATGTGGTGCTAAAAAACTTAATATTACAGATTACTGAGATTCAGGATTGTTTTTCAGGACGTTGTATTTTAACTTAAAATGACAGGAAGTACTCCAAACTGACTTCCTGTAATTCCTCTATACTCACCAAATTATGTTTATAAAGTTTGTGCTTTATATCAGTTTATGTTCATGGCAAATTCATCTGGCCACAAATATGTGTGTGATTATTCATCCCTAAACACAGTTACAAAATCTTTGCCTCTCTGGACTTTTCCTGGAAGGCATCCACCTGTCCCTCATGCTTAGGGCAAGGCTCATGCACTGTGCATTCCCACAGGTGGCTCAGGACCTTGGTGCTGCTGGCTACCCAACTTCTGACTCACTGCTGCAGTCCTCACCCAGGCACTTCCATTCAGAGGCTTATCACTGGACCCTGGGTTTCTGAAAGCTACACTCTGCTGAGCCTTCTCTGCCAGACTTTCCTTATGAGGGATTAGGATGAATCCTGACAAACTTTTTTCTTCACTTTGATTCAGTATGTTTCTGCTTCTTACCTTACCCTGTGTTGGCCAGTTCTGTGATAAAACACATGTCAACATCAATTTATGGGAAAAAATAATCTTATCATGGCTCAGAGATATCCATGGCTCCATTGCTTGAGTTGGAGATCAACCCAAGCATCACGGCAGGGAGCACGTGGTAAAGTCAAGCTGCCCATTTCATAGTGAAAAGGGAGATGAGCTAAAGAGAAGGGCTCAGGGATACAATATATCCTTCAGAAGAACATCTTAGTCTCCCACCTCTTTCAGCTAGGTCTCACCTCCTAAGGGTTTCAAGCCTTCCCAATTGTCCCTCAGTGTCAGTACATGAGCCGTTGGGAGATATTCTAGCACCAAAGTGTGACATATCCTCTCTCCCTCTCTGAGCCTTAGATTCATAAAGTGACAGAAGCTTTCTTTCTCATATTTCTTTAGCAGAGAAATGGTCTTCATGTATGCACGGATACCATGATCAACACCAAGGGGGAAGAAATAAGAGGAGCCAGCCTTTCACCTTACTATGCATTTGTTCTAGGTAAAGATTTGACTGTGGCCCTCATTTGGTTTATTTTCTTAACTGCTTTTTTCTAAGTAGTCAGTTCAGCTTTTTCCAGCTCATATCAGGTCCTAGCAATCAACTCTCCAACTACCCAAGCCATTGGGAAATCATGTGACAATAGAGTCACATGATTGTGATCATTTTCACCACTTCTGCTGCTGCTGCCCTGGACTCTGGCAACACCACCTCTCACTGGAAATGAAGGAGCTGGAGCCCCACATTGCTTGTGGCTTTTCTTTGGCTTAACTGTGATGTATTCTCAAAACAGAAGCCTAACACCAGTTCTGACTGGAAAGGACAGATTCTAAAAAGAAACACTGTGTCCCTGCTCTTCAGCTATCAAATTACTGAAGGACTGAATTCCAAAGAATTAAAATTTCTCTAGGAATAACATGCTGGAGAAGACAAAGGATAAAGTCCTGGGGTCATCCAGAGGAAGAATTTTCCTGGTGGGGAGAAATTTCATACAGTATGACAATTATCTCACAGTTAATTTAGCATATGCATATTTCATGGCTTTTGATTTGCATTCTCTATAACATTTTAACACTGATACAGAAACATGAAAAAAATATCAGTCTTTTTCTCCAGTGTTTAGGCAAATGGTACATAATTCTATTTCCTAATGGTTCCTAATTCCTTTTAAGATACAAGAAAATTGGGGCTGGAGAGATGGCTCAGTGGTTAAGAGCACTGGCTGTTCTTGTAGAGGACCCGGGTTTGATTCCCAGCACCTACATGGTGGCTAACAGCCATCCATTACTACAGTTCCAAGGGAATCGGACACCCCCTTCTGATCTCCATGGGCATTGCATGACACAGGTGTACTTACAAGCATGCAGGAAATATACTCATATACATAATATAAAAATAATATAGTATTTTTAAAAGATTCAGGAAAATGATATTATGAAAATATGAGCCTAAGTACCCCAGTAACAGAGTGTGTGAAAATCTGTCAGTTTATGCTACTTTTTGCTTTAGATCAAAATCTTTCTGTGCTGTAGCATTTGGAAAGCTGAGTTTGAGAGACCTTGGCTCCATCGGAAATTGCAGACAAGCTGAGCTACACAGTAACACCCTGTCTCAACCAACCAACCAACGAACCAACCAACCAACCAACCAATTCTGTAAGATTCTACAGTTCCCTAAAGAGAGCTAACATGTTTGCCAGACCTGTCCAAGCCTTACTTGGTCCACCTGCAGCCCTCCCTGTTTTCCTCTGACTATGCATTCCATATTTACTTTCTTTGTTATCACTTCAGTACTTATAGATAACTGCCTTGTAACCTTTTGTACAATTATTCAGATATCTCTTTCTCTGTGAACTGGACTCTCAACCCCCTATAACTTCATCCCACCCACTTCATTCTCCTCATTCTGTTCATTTTTTCCTGTTTTTCAATACTATGCAGTTTCTAGGACCTGTGTAGTTCAGTGTCTAGATTGGCTTATTGGCTTCTTGTCTCTTCTCCAAGCATAAGTAATAAACCTCATGTGGGTAGAAATTTTGAGCCATGTTTTTCTCACTAATGAAACTAAATTCTTAAAACAGGTATTAACACAGAAAAAGTTACGAATAAATATGTTTCAATGAATGAGTTTAAATTTCATCAGACTTAGATTATTATCTGGAAGCCTATAGTTATTGCTATGTTGTTTCTAAAAATTTTTATTTAATATTTTTTATTTTATGTGTATGAGTGTACTGCCTGCATGTGTGTAAGTGCACCTGTATCATGAAATGCCTCAGAGACCAGAAGAGGGCATTGGAGCCCCTAGAAGTGGAGTTATGGACAGTTGTTAGCTGCCATGTTGGTACTGGGAATCAAACCCAGGTCCTCTGTAAGAGCAGCCTGTGCTCTTAACCACTGAACTATCTCTCCAGCACCATTATGTTCTTTTATTTTTTGAAAGTGTATACATGTTTGGCATGTGTATAGATGTATTTGCATGTGTGGATGCACATCTCTGAATGTGTTTGTGGAGGCCAGGGATTGATGCTGGGTGTCTTCATAGATTGCTCTCCACTTTATTATTTTATTTTTGTTCAGAATATTTCTTTAAAATGTAACTGCAAAATATGGAACATATTCTTTCTTATTTTCTCTGTATGTTAATAGACTTAATACTATATTACCTTAAAAGCTCGTATCAACATAGAAAGAAATGCTTGATTAATCTCCTACTACATTGTACTAACCCAGCTGATTATTTTTTGTTTGCCTTTCAGAATCTTGTTCCGAGCTGTTTCTACCTGGTACTCACTGATTCAGCTACTCTACTTAGCCAGTTTGCACTGGGAAACTGTTTCTTAGCTCTGCCTTTGGAGCACTGGTAGATTGCCACACTTTCCAGATTTTGATGTGCATCATGGCCAAATCTTCCCCTGAGAGACTGCATCTTCTCTTCTACTTAAACCACCACAATGTTCCTCTTAAGTTAGAGTTTGGGGAAAAAAGAATATTTATTTGGGCTTGCTAATGAAGTTTAGAGGGTCATTTACAAAGACGTGAGCTGTGGGCTCCTTCTCTCTCATATTTGAGATCTGCTTCCCACCAAGGTCTTGATGCTCTCTTCTCAAAATAGCGACTCCCCCCTCCCCTTTTTCCCAGTTGCTCAGCGTCTCTCACCTTCAGTCTCTAGGAGGTTCAGGTCTAGTTTCCCCAGAGGACATACCCACCCAACAATGTGGGTGCTGAGGCTCTGAACTGTGGTCCTCATGTTTTATACAGAACCATCTCCTCAGCTCCATTGGTGTGTTTTATAGATATCCTGTATTCTTACTCTCCCTGATTCTACCACCTAGCAGATGAATATGCAATGTCCCAGTTAAGACTCTTATCATTCTCAAACATTTTTCCTAGGAGTTTCTCTTCAAAACCTACCAACTAAAGTAGTCTATGCTCTTTTTAATTCCATTTCCTGAAAACCCTTCTAGATTGAGGAACAAATGGATGAACCAATTATGGCAAGTGGTTCATAAGGCATAATATAATGCTCCCTCCATTGTCTAACTCAAAGGAGGCCTTTTGAAGAAATTGTAGTCATTATTATACAAGATGAGACACTGTCACATTTTGAAGAACAAAAGCCATGCCTTGAATTATGGTTCAACAGCAAGTTATACATCAGAACAGCAAATATTGTGACTGATTAACATCTTTTAATCTCCCAAATTATAGGAAACACACTTTGTAATTTTGTATAACTTGTAATAAACCATTTCACATAACCCTATGGGAATAGTAACATTAGGAGATTGTGTTAGATTCATGTTACTGTGTAAGGTTTATTTTGGCTCCTGCTATCAGAAGCTTCCTTCCATGACTTGCCAACTCCATCCATTACCCTGGGCCTGAGGTAAGGCAGGCTTTCACAGTGGCTGGAGCATGTGGCAGATACAATTTACTTCACAGCCCCCAAGAGCAGAGAAGTTATACATATGCTATTGTCTTCCTCCGTCTATTGGTGTAATCCCATCTGTGCTCCGAGTCTACTAAACAATATTACCCACATTCAGAGTAGTTTCATTGCAATTAGTTGATTATCCTTTGGAATACCCTCATACAGAAATGTATCTAATCACCTAACAATTTCTAAATCTAGACCAGTTGATAATCAAGATGAACTATCAGGAAGATGTAACAATATATGTGAGATTATTCTATGTTTTATTCATAAAACATTCATACACACATAGAATAAAATTATAAGGCATAAAGATAAACAGTAGTAATTTGATGATAAATTCAAGAATGAAAAAAATGTAAAGGATACATGGAGTAAATTCGCCCTGTATTTCTCCTTATAATTTAGAAAGAATATTTCATGTTTAACACAATCACTAATGTAGAGATAAGTATACTTTTATAATTAGGCCAGTATGCTGATGAATACTTGTGGTCTAGGATTTAGGAGGCTAAGGTGGAGAGATTGCTTGACCTAGGAGTTCAATGTCAGACTGGGCAACAAAGTAACACCTCAACTTGGAAGGAGGTAGGGAGGGAAGGAAGAAAGGAAGGGAGGGAAGGAAAAGTGATTTGAAAACTTGTGGTTTGTGTTAAAATTGTGAAGACCTGTTGAATGTTTTGGATAATTACACAGAATGCATGTTACACTTTCTCAAGAATCCAGTATATTGTACTAGAATCTATAATAAATGAAAGGATTAAAAATTCAAGCCAATGTCTTTCTAAAAAAGACAAGAAATTAGTTTACATACACTCCTTACCTTGTCTCATCCCCAAGCATTGGTACAGATGTTGAACATTACATTTTCCATTATGGTGATTGATTCTAGTCATCTTGAGACTGTTCCTCTCTGTAGATGTCAGCACAATGGGTTTTTAAAAAGCTGTTGTTTTGAGTAATGATCACCAAGGGAAAGAAGCTGATATTTCTAGGATAATCTTAGCTTTTCTATAAAATGTAAGATGAGCTTATGTTGGTAGAGAAAAATACATAACATTCAGTATGTGAAGTCTTTAGAACAAAATCTTGAATATGAGATTCTAATGAGAAACTTACAGATGTTTTCAAAGCATCTTATTTATTTAAAGGGGAAAAAGTTTCCCAGTGCTCCTGTAGCTCTCAGAACACAGCAAAGGACACTGTAAGAGGGAATGTCATTGCTGATTTAGATAAGTATGGCCTTGTTCCAATATATTCTGGTTTTCCTTTTATCCAGTTGTAAAGTTTTTACTGTAGGGTGTCAGACATAGTGCAACTATTTCATAAACGGAGTGGCTCATTTGGCTGACACCAAGCTTGGCCTTTAGGGCAGTTTACATCCTGAAGTAAAATGTTTCTCCCACCCCCTTTTGTTACAGAATACACTATTCAAGTGCATTTGTTTTGCAAACCTAGTATTAGTTAATGAGCGCTCGCTCCTAATCCACAACTTGGTACTAGTGCATGAATCAGAAAGTACAGGGCTTATTGTTGGAGTGAAGTCAGATGGGGGAAGTGGGAAATCCACAAGAACTTTATATTTTAAAATTCCCCAAATAAACCAGTCTTTAAAAAATGATGGTTCTAAGGATTCACTGATGCCCATACTCTATGTGTGCCATAACAAATAAGAAAAAGAATAGCTATAAAAATTAAGTAATGAACCTTTTTGTAGTTTAAAATTACTTTTTCTATAGCATTTCCCTAAGTTTAAAGTGCAGTCAATCTTTATTTTTTTTAAAAAGAACCTTATAATGGGACATTAACTTTGTTACAGGTTATATGGACAAGGAAAATTACATAACTTGCACAGACCATTATCTCTATTGATATGAAAAGAAAGTTTCGCACCTACATGAAATGATTCCAAATCCATATTCTTAACTCCTGTTCCTGTTTATTTGTATGAAATGTAAATAAAAAGGTAAAATCAAATGAGTCTTAAGCAGCAGAAAGTTGTACATAAGAAGAAAAATGAAATAATCAGTAAAATCTGCACTAAAGATAAAATATGCAAAGTAGAATAAAAATGCAAAATAAGCATTGAAATAATAAAAGTATAGCAACTTGTAACAAAAGCATTAAGATTTTATTTTAATAGAAGCACATAAAAAAGAAATAGACTGTATCACAACAGTAAAACTTACTGAAAAAGAAAGCTTTACCAAAGTAGGAATATGAAGAATATGTCTGGAGACAGTCAGTGGTCTAATTCAGAATTAGAAGCAATCATACAATGTTGAGGATACCAGCTCTCTCCCTAGTCCCTTAAGTCATGCATGCATTAATTCATTCTTCATATATATATATATGTGTGTGTGTGTGTGTGTGTGTGTGTGTGTGTGTGTATCAAGTGTCTTCTGTGTCATAGGATACATGCTGCTGCTAAAACTCATCCAAGGGAGATGTGCAGACAACATCCACCCCCTCTTTCCTTGGTCTCAGTGACAAACTGAGGTACAATTCCACCAATATTAACCCTGGGAAACCAATGAATTTGTTGGGTTTGCTTATAGAGCAATGGATAGAGGTTTACTTGAGGAGTATGGGTGTTCCTCCACTAAGGCTGCACTGGAAAGTCTTGTCATAGCACAGATGATGGCTTCTGCATAGCCACATAAAATGGCAACTCAGCCCCCACCCCCGAGTCTTCCACAGCCTATATAATCTAGCCCTTCCCTCCCAGCCCATATTCAATCATGGCTGAATTACTCATCACAAGCTGAGTGGTATGAGTGGAGACTTAATTGAAGCTCTCATGCCTCTCCCTGCCCTTCTTTCTATGTGGGGATTCTGGAATGTAAGACTGTGAGGGAGTGTGGATGTGGGAGTTGGGGAGGAGGAAAGGGCATGAAGAGTTAACCAGACAGCTGTGAAAATCTTTGGCAAGCAGGTACAGCTGAGCTCAGAAAGATGGCAGCTGTCTGACTTGGAGGCCAGTCCTGTACAACATATGCCCTGGGTGCTCAGGAGTGAAAATCAAACCCACACTCCTACACTTACTTGTGTTTCCATTGAGAGTCATATAATAAGCACACCTGTTTAGTTAAATGAAGTACATGAGCCTATCCTGGGAGAAAGATGAAGCAAAAGAGAAAGGTGCAGGAATATTGCAGTTCCAGTTCAAAGAACATTTCTCCAAATAGGTTGAACTGGAAAAGTCATTTGGATATTGGGAGAACTTTCACTAGCAAGAACTAAAGATGCAATTTCTCTATGCCAGGAATGGGTCTAAACTCCACAGGAAACACACGGGGCAGTGACTAGAGCTGCAAAGAGCCTGTACTGGATTCCTGTGACTGCTGTAACAAAGTGTGTGGCTTACAACAACAGAAATTTTCTCACAGTTCTGGAAAGCAGAGTTCTGAAATCAGGGTGTTGGATTCCAGGAGATGGAAAGTCCTATGGAGAATCCATCCTTCCTTTTTCATGGTGTGCTCGCTGCAGACCTTCTCTGGCTTGTTGCAGAGCAGAGGGTCACTCTCTGCCTCTATCTTTTCCTTGCATTTTCCTGTGTGTGTGTGTGTGTGTGTGTGTGTGTGTGTGTGTGTAACCTCCCTCTGCTTATTTCTTATAAGGTGTATAGAATTAACTATAATACTGAATCAACCAATCCTCTCATGAACTTAAACACAGAATCATGGAATTTGAAGTGGATAGTTTTGGAAGTCTATTTTTTTTTCTTAGCATACAAAAGAGACCAATTTGACTAAAAGTAGAGTAAGAGAATAAATGAGCGAATGAGGAGAGTAGAAGCTGTAGACACAGGATTCCATCAGCTTTTACTCTTATAAGTTTGTCTCAATGGTTGGCAGTAAACAGTTGACTGTCATCATCTGATCAACAGTTTTTTAAATTAATTTTATTTATTTTAAAATTTTGTGCTATGACTATTTTGCCTACATGTATGCAAGTGAACCGGTGTTATGTAATACCTGTATAAGCCAAAAGAAAGCACTGGATTACCTGGAATTGGAGTTACAGATGACTGTTAGCTGTTATGGGGGTGCTGGGAATCAAACCCAGGCCCTTCGCAAGGGCAGTCAGTGCTCTTAACTGCTAAACCATCCCTCCGGATCAACACTTTTAAAGATGTTAGTTATTCCTAAGGTAAGACCATGTAGAAGATAAGAAGAACCAGGTGAGTGGTAAAGATCAGATGCAATATCTAGGGTGACAATAATCAGCTGCCAATAATTCTTCTACTAAGATTAGGACTTGGTGCCCATTTCCAGTTTTGTGCTAGGGTTTCATCTGCTTTAGTTCACATGGGTCTTGTGCATGCTGACACCATTGTTGTAGGTTCATATGAACAAAGGTCTTAGGAGTTTGTAGGACTCTATTCCCATATGGTCATGCACCTCCTCCCTGGCTCTTACAATCTTTTTGTCCTCTCTTCCACAATGGTCCTGACCCCTGGGTGGGAGAAGTTTAATATAAGAGTCCTGTCCAAGGACCCACAATCTGTAGAATCTTACTCTCCACACTTTGGCCATTTGTGACCTTCTGTGTTACTGGCCCTCTGGTATGTGAGGGAGCTTCATTGATGAGAATTGGGAGATGCATCAGTGTCTTCTTTACCCCTTGTTCTAAGTTCCATGAGCCTTAGTTATAGAGGTTGCACTATAGATGTGCCATTTTGGCTTAGGCAATTCAGATAGTGTCTATGTGCCCAGTTGTAATAGTCTCTGTCTGTTGCAAAAGAAGCTTTATTGATTAATGCTGACTGGCATACTTGCAAATAAGAATCCATATTTTGCATGTAGTAAGAAATTACATTTCTCTAGGGATATAACAGCCTTGGGTTTTCTCTAAGATCTATGACCTCTCCAGATATGTGTATTTGGCTATGTTTACAGTATCACACATGAGTTTCCTCCCATTGAGTGGGCTTTAAGTTCAATTAAGTAACTTTTGATTAATTCCAAGATTAAAGTGTCACTATTGCACCAATGTCATTGGCGGTGCTGGTCATTGATGTGGTTTTTATGCCTTAAAGCTGGGGCTGAACTATTGATTGATGTTCTCCCTTAGCAGCTTTCTTAGTGCTCTCCAAAGCTATGAGAGGTAGCCTTAAGGGGAGGTTGGTTCCAGGTCAATTCCTGCTCCATTATTCCAAATCCTTTGTCTGAAATATATCCTGTCTTGGGCAATAGGGTCTTTCCTTCAAGTTCTGGAGGCAATCAAGGGCTGTGACAATAACCTGTATAATTTTAGGGTTCCTCTTAGACTACCCTGGCTGACAACTCAAAGGAGGGTTTGTCCTGTCTGGCACCGTTTGTTTTTTTTTTATGTAGCCTTCAGCTATACACATGGACCCATGTAGAGATGTTGTATGTAAATTATCTTCAGTTTTTTTAAGTTGAAAATGCTCTAGAGCAGGAAAAATAAATCAGGGCTTCTTATATATTCTACCCATGACACTTTTTCACCTGGAAAGGTTTTTTTTATTTTTCACTTGGGAAGTTTTTATGTGAACCTTAGCATATACATACATAAAATAAGGATACAAGTCAAAACATTAATGAATACATCATAAATAAATTTATTTTGAGTAATTCTTTGCTATTCATATGAATTTACCATTTATTAAAGATTAAAGCACATATGTGGGGGGGTAGCATCTTAGAGCTCAGAAGACTGCCAGAGAGTGCCAGGTTCTGGCCTCCCTCTGGCATCCAACTACCAAAGGGCCTGAGAACCCAGGGGACTGCCTGACAACTCATGGAT